AGTAAAGGATCGAACCCAGGGTCTCGCATGTGTTGTCATTCATTTTATTGATTCTTGATTTTATTTCTTGTGCTTCAGGAGTCTTTTTGAGGAAGTCGATTCCTAAACTGATATTATGCAGAATTGGGCCTGTATTTTTTTCTCATAGGCACGGGGTCTGTGTTCTAATGCTGAAGTCCTTGATCCACGTTGAGTTGAGTTTTGTGCAGGGGTAGAAGTGTTCAATTTCATTCTACTACATATGGATTTCTAGTTTTCCCAGCACTATTTGTTGAAGAGGCTATTTTTCTCCAATATGTTTATGGTGCCTTTGTCTAATATGAGATAACTGTAACCAAAGACACATCAAGGAAAGAAAAGTTCAGACCAACATCCCTGATTCTCATAGAAGCAAAATTATTAATCAAATACTGGCAAATCCTGTACAAAAACATATTAAAAAGATAGTGCACCATGATTATGTGCAGTTCATCCTAAGGATGAAAGGTTGGTTTTAGTATATGGAGATAAATGAATGTAATTCATCACATCAATAAACTTTGAGAGAAGAATCACATGATATTCTCAATATATTCAGAAAAACCACTTGACAAAATTCAGCATCCATTCATGCTCAAAACACTAGACAAACTAGTATTTGTAGGAACATACCTCAACATTGTGAAAGCAATATATGGTAACCCAAGGCCAACATCATTTTAAATTGAGAAAAATCAAAGCATTCCCTCTCAAAACAGGAACAAGAAAGGGCTGCCCTTTCACCCCTTTTTTTTTCAAACATAGTTTTGATACCTTACCCAGAGCAATTAGACAAAAGAAAGAAATTAAAGGCTTATGAATAGAAAAGAAGAGCTCAAACTATCCATATTTGCCATATGACATGATTCCTTATTTAGAACATGCAAAAATCTCTACCAAAAAGCTTCTACAACTCATAAACTAATTCAGCAAAATAGCAGGTTATAAAATTAACACATGTAAGTTAACTGCATTCCTATACATCTGTGATGAATAAACTGAAACAGAATTAGAAGAACTATCCCATTCACAATAGCCTTAAAAATATAAAATATTAGTGATCAGTCTAATAAAAGAGGTGCTAGACCTCTATAATGAAAAGTATAGAACACTAAAGAAAGAAATTGAAGAAGGCCTTAGAGGAAGGAAACATCTCCTATGCTCTTGGATAGGCAGAATTAATATTGTCAAAATGGCCATACTATCAAAACTGTTATACAGATTTAAGGCCATTTCTATTAAAATCCAGTGACACTCTTCATAGAAATAGAAGAAACACTCATGAAATTCATTTGGATAAATGAGAGGCCCAGAATAGCCAAAGTAATTCTTAGAGAAATGAAGCGGTAGACATCACAATACCAGACCTCAAGTTATACTACAGAACTATAGTAACAAAAATGGCATGGTATTAGTACTAAAACAGACATGGACACCAGTGGAACTTAACAGAAGACACTGAGACAAACCCACATAAATATAGTTATCTCATACTTTTAATTATTTTTTCTTTTTATTTTATTTTTTTTATTGTTGGTTGTTCAAAACATTACATAGTTCTTGATATATCATATTTCACACTTTGCTTCAAGTGGGTTATGAACTCCCATTTTTAGCCCATATACAGATTGCAGAATCACATCAATTACACATCCATTGATTTACATATTGCCATACTAGTGTCTGTTGTGTTCTGCTACCTTTCCTATCCTCTACTATCCCCCCTCCCCTCCCCTCCCCTCCCCTCCCCTCCCCTCCCCTCTTCTCTCTCTACCCCCTCTACTGTCCTTCATTTCTCCCCCTTGTATTATTTTTCCCTTTCCCCTCATTTCCTCTTGTATGTTCTTTTGTATAACCCTGAGGGTCTCCTTCCATTTCCATGCAATTTCCCTTTTCTCTCCCTTTCCCTCCCACCTCTCATCTCTGTTTAATGTTAATCTTCTTCTCATGCTCTTCGTCCCTACTCTGTTCTTAGTTACTCTCCTTATATCAAAGAAGACATTTGGCATTTGTTTTTTAGGGATTGGCTAGCTTCACTTAGCATAATCTGCTCTAATGCCATCCATTTCCCTGCAAATTCTATGATTTTGTCATTTTTTAATGCAGCGTAATACTCCATTGTGTATAAATGCCACATTTTTTTAATCCATTCGTCTATTGAAGGGCATCTGGGTTGGTTCCACAGTCTTGCTATTGTGAATTGAGCTGCTATGAACATCGATGTAGCAGTGTCCCTGTAGCATGCTCTTTTTAGGTCTTTAGGGAATAGACCAAGAAGGGGAATAGCTGGGTCAAATGGTGGCTCCATTCCCAGCTTTCCAAGAAATCTCCATACTGCTTTCCAATATTTTTTCTTTTTAATATTACAATGTTATATGTTTAATTTTTCTTCTTGAAGTTATTTTATTGGTATTTCTAAGTTTATTTTAGTTTCTTGTATTTGATGTGTTATTTTAAGAACAATTGTTATAAAATGTTAAAATATCAATGATATATTTTTATAGTTTGCCAAATGAGGTTTTTTTTTTTTTGTTGTTGTTATGTGGCATTCTATTTATCTTTTAATTTAATACAATGTTTAACTCATTCAGTTTTTTTTTAAATTTAATTTTTTTTAACTCATTCAATTTTGTCTTTAGGTAAAACTTATATTGGTTGTTAACTTTCTTTGCTTGATAGCATTTTTACTACTTCAAATAATTAGTTTTTAGAATTCTGCACTTTAGTTGCTTTCTGAATCTGTGAACTATTGTTTGTGACAGCAACTTTAGTTCACAGTGGGCTTGTTTTCCTTTTCCCTATGAGCTATTTATAACTTTAGTCAAAGGTTATCGACAAATTATTAGATTATGTAAGTCCTTCCAATGTATCTAAATGCTGTACTGTGAAAGAGAGAGTTGACGATTTATTTTATAATATTTTGCCAAAGTGAATTATAGGAAGCACAATATCACTATTGTAAATATAATCATTTGAGACTATATAGAAGGTAATTTCCTTGTCCAGCAGTCCTCTCTTCATTATAATTTTTATCTGCTTGAATATTTTCTTAGGAGCATCTCAGAACAACACATAAGCATAATATACATTTTTTTAAATTAATAGAATAATTTAGTTTCCCCAGAGTCCCTTGTAATTCTGCAAATAACCAGCAGGGGATCTCCTCTACATCCAATTTCCTCTGAATACTATTAATGATAGTGTCTATAATTATACTGCGGGGGCTTAAAGATAAATTGGTGACTTTGAGAGAGTTACTAGTTTAGCATAGTTGTTATGTGATACAGTATTACCTTTGTTCAGCTTTATTCATAACTCTAGAAATATTTGGAGGTTAGAGGTTAGACTTTTTTATTTTTTGTAACTGTGGATTAAACCCATGGGTGCTTCATCACTAAGCTACATCCTCCAGTTTTTATTTTTTATTTTGAGACAGTGTCTTGCTAAGTTGCTAAGGCTGGCCTCAAACTTGGAATCCTTCTCCTCAGCCTCCTGAATAGACATTGTTTTAATAATTTTGCTTTGTGTTGTCATATACGTGTAAATTTCAGAACCTTTTAAATATTGGGCCTTTTGGAGGAAATGCCGAAATTATACAGTTCCCAGCATAGTAGTTTGCAAACTTTGTTGCCCTGAAAAGGTTTTCAAAATGAATGAATATGAAATAGTTTAATTTTTAAGTTAAAATGTAAAGCAGTCATTTAGTATTAGAAACATGTTTTTTAAATAATTCTTGCCAGTTGTTAAGAGTAGGAACTGTAGGAATTAATATATACCATTATGAATTTTTCTTGATAGTATTTAGATGGGTACGTCCATTAAAAAGCAGTTTTCTCTGATAATGTAATTCTTTCTGATGTCTTATTCTCTAAACTCTGTTTTTTGGTTATTGAAAACTAATTTCAGAAGAATGAATTTTGACACTGTGAATTTGATAAATGTTAGGGGCATAATAGGTTTTTGAAACCATTTGAAAATAGGTAAATTTTAAAAAAAATTTTTATTATTATGATGCTGGAGAGCAAATCCAAGGGCTTCCCTTATGGTAGGGAAGTGCTCTCTACCACTGAGCTATACCTCCTGCCCTCTTTTTAAGAAATTGATCATTGTTGTATGCTAACGGGATAAATTTGTTTTTGAAAATTGGTTATGAGGAAATTCTAAATATGTTTTAATGTATTTGGTATAAATGTTAAAGTGGCTTAATATCCATGAAGTCATTATAAATCCAAGAATAAATATAATGACTGAAGATAAATATTGAGGTTAAGTTGCTTTTGTATTTTATTCATAAACAATAACCCTTTATTTTGCAGTGCTGTCAGTTGGCCTTTCCAGTTTGACATGTTTCTATTATGAGAAATTCAGTGTCCAGGAATTTCAGGCATTGCTCTTGAGATTTTTAAAAATTGTGATCTGCTCCTTTTAAGTGTATACCTAATATAAAGATTAATTTATGTCATGAACCAAATTTCCTGGAGTATGAACCTCAAATTTACTATCATTTTCATAGAATAAAGGAGAAAGAATTAATATTTTAGGATATTTTTGGATATACTTGTTGTGTGTGCATAATCCAATTTGAAGGCAAAAGACACTTTAAACATTGTTCTTGTAGTTAATACTCTTTTTGTCAGATAATACTAATTTATAATTTATAATGTGGAACATGCAGTCAGCCTTTTATAGAAAAAGATGTATATTTCAGTAGATCACAGAACAACACAGAAAGAATACATATAGAAATAAAATATGAAGCCTAAAAAATTAGTCCAAAAGATGGTGATCTTTTAGGGATATCAATGAAATATATCTTGTAGTTTTCAGTTTTCTTTTATCAACGAAAGAAAATGTTGATAATTTTGGAAATAGAGAAAGAGATTGAAGCATATTATATATCTATTTTACAGGAAATTGAAACTGACATTTTATCCTGTGCGTATTAAAACTTGGTGAACATTTGGATCTTTTCTTTTTTCCAGATATTTGGTTTTCAGGCAGGACTGACATCTTTGGATGTTAGTGGATCTTACTGCTTACCTGTACCAATTATTCCCTCCTTCAGCACTGCTCTTTATGGTAAATTTCTGAAATTCCCCACTTGCTGGTAAGCATTTATGTTAAAATGTGTTTTACGTTAATTTTCATTTTATAATTTTAGGGAGGAAAAAGAAAATATTTCTGTCTTACGTCCATATGTTAGTACTATCAACTATATTATAGTGTAAATGTCTAAATGTGTTTGTTTATCGTGTCTTTTTTTGTAAATAGTAATTGTTGATATATCATTGAAGTTTAAGAAGGTGTTGTAGCTTCAGATTGTAATAGATACTGCAAGAGCAAGTGTACCCCCCCTTTTAAAAGTTTTAGAAAAGAGGTGCTTTTAATATGAAGGCCTGAGTATTCATGTATTAAATAATTTCAAATGTATTCACAGCCACTGAGCAAAGCATATGCATTACATATAAAGTTATAATGTTTGTCATCATAGCTACATTTTGGAAGAAACTTATTTTTTAGTTCTTATTTTTATTCAGTGTGGGTTGCTTTAGTTGGAGGTCATTTTTACTTAAATTCAAAGAGATTTATAGAAAAGTCATATTTTCTAGTAATATTGTCTAGTCATATCACTTTAGTTAAAAATAATGCTTTTAATATATTAAAGAAATTATTTTTGCACTTGAAAATGTGAAATATTTCAATTGTTTGTAAAGTATTTTTTTGCTTTCTCATTCTAATTAGCAATCTTATTATCTTTTAAAGAGTTTTTTTTAGTTGTTGATAGACCTTTATTTTATTTATTTACATGCTGTACTGAGAATTGAACCCAGTGCCTCATTCATGGCAGGCAAGTGTGCTACTGCTGAGCCCTAAGCCCCAGTAATCTTATTTTTACAGAGTATTTTGTTGATTTTTTTTTATTATTATTAAAAGAAAAAAATAGGTATTTTTAAAAATCCAAAATGCTTTAAATTCTTTAATAGTATTTAACTTTTAAATTAGTAAGGTAAATGCTCACATTTTAATGAAAGTTGCCTATTGATCCAGGTAATTAAAAAAAGAAGTTGTTCTATAGTCTTGGTATGAATTCCTTTATAAAATTGTTCCACTTTAATGTTATTATTCTTATTCTTGGTAAAGTTCATTTTGCCTTTATTTATCCATAGTCCTCATATATCCTTTATTACGTTTTATAGTGATAGATAGTATATTTATTTCTATGTATATAACATGTTGTATTTCAGCCACATTTTATATTCTAATGTATTAAGAAAGAGTACAGATTTGTCACAGTTGATGTGTGAGTACCAGTTTTAATAATCATTTCTGAAAATGGATATCTCAATTATGTGCTAATATATTTATCAATTACAGGACCAAAATAATTTTTTTGTGTACAGTGCTGTTTATTACACCCTAGTTTCCAAAATGAATTGTAACCTTTACATGAAAAGAATTGAGTATTTAAATATGTTCATTTTAAGGATATCTAAGGTTTATATAAAGTCAAATGTTAAAGAAAATGTGGTATAGGTACACAATGGAATGTTACTCATCCTTAAAGACGAATGAAATTATGGCATTTGCAAGTAAATGGATGGGGCTGGAGAATATCATGATAAGTGAAATAAGCCGATACCTTGCAAAGCCAGAGGCTGAATGTTTTCTCTGAAGTGGATGCCAGTCCTTAATGTAGGGGGATAGACAAGAATGAAGGAACTTTGGATTGGGCAGAGAGGAGTGAGGGGAGTGGAGAGGGTATGGGTGTGGGAAGAACATTGGAATGCGATGGGTGTTACCATGTATACATGTATGACTACAGTACCTGTGTGATTCTGCACCATGTATAGCTGAACGAGTGAGAAGTTGTGCTCCATTTGTGCACAGTGTGTCAAAATGCATTCTATTCTTATGTCATGTATAACTAACTATAAATTAAAAAAAAATTTGCTGTGACTTAAAATGTCTGTGCCTATCTAAAAATATTCCAGTAAATACTGAAGACATAGATCACAGAATGTTAAGTTTTATTTGGGTGTGTTCTGTTGTTTTTCTAGACATGACCCCTTCTATGTTATTTCAGTGAGTTTTCTTTTGCCTTATTTTACAGAAGTATGTTGCTATTAAATAGTTTGTTGAAATTAGTTTTCTTAAATAGAAAAATTATCTTCAACATAACTTTAGCAAGTGTAAATTGAAAGTAATACATACAAAATTCAATCAATTGAGATGCTGCTTACTAAGAGCAATTTATTTATTTCATATTTTTAAATTTTTCTTTTTAGTTATACATGACTAATAGAATGTATTTTGCCATATAGAATGAATGTATTTTGACATATCATACATATATAGAGTATAACTTCCCATTGTTTTGATTGTATACTATGTGGAGTTACACTGTTGTGTCTTCATATATAAACAGAGGAAAGTTATGTCTCATTCATTCTACTGTCTTTCCCATTCCCTTCTCCCCTCCTTTGCCCCCCCGCCTTACCCCTGTCCCAATTAAATGAACTTTCATGCCTCCCTCCACTCTCTCCACCTATTGTGAGTCAGCATCTGCCTATCAGAGAAACTGTTTGGTATTTGGGTTTTGGGGATTGGCTTATTTCACTTAGCATGATATCCTCCAGTTCCATCCATTTACTGGCAAATGCCATAATTTCATTCTTCTTTACGGCTGAGTAGCATTCATTTGTGTATATGTACCACATTTTCTTTATCTATTCATCTATTGAATGGCACCTAGATTGGTTCCATAATTGTGAATTGAGCTGCTATGAACATTGATGTGGCTGTATCACTATAATATGCTGATTTTAAGTCCTTTGGGTATATGCCGAGGAGTTGGATAACTCCATCAAATGGTGGTTCCATTCCAAGTTTTCTAAGGAATCTCCAAACTGCTTTCCAGAGTGGTTGCACCAATTTGTAGTCCCACCAGCAGTGTATGAGTGTACCTTTTTCTCCACATCCTTACCAGCATTTATTGTTACTTGAATTCTTGATAATTGCCATTCAGACTAGCGTGAGAGAGAATCTCAGTGTAGTTTTAGTTGAACACTTTTTCATATTTGTTGACCATTCGTATTTTTTCTGTGAAGTCCCTGTTTAGTTCCTTTGCCCACTTATAGATTAGGTTATTTAGTTTATTGTTTTTAAGTTTTTTGAATTCTCTATATATCCTGGAGATTAATGCTTTGTCTGAGGTGCAGGTGTCAAAGATTTTGTCCCATTGTCTAGGATCTCTGTTTACATTCTTGATTGTTTCCTTTGCTTGGTTTTAGTTTGTTGCCATCCCATTTATTGATTCTTTATTTTATTTCTTGTGCTTTGGGAGTCTTGTTTAGGAAGGTAGTTCCTAAGATGACACGATGGAGATTTGGGCCTACATTTTCTTCTAGTAGGTGCAGGGTCTTCATTTTAGTGCCTAGGTCCTTGATTCACATTGAACTGAGTTTTGTGTGGGGTGAGAGACATAGTCTAATTTCATTTTGTTCATATGGATTTCTAGTTTTCCCAGCACCATTTATTGAAGAGGCTATCTTTTCTCCAGTATAGGTTCATGGTGCCTGTGTCTACTGTGAGAGAACATGATTTATGTCGGTTTGTCCCAGTGCAGTGTCTTCTATTCTGTACTGTTGGTCTTCATGCTTGTTTATTTATTTATTTTGGTGCCAATACCTTGCCATTTTTGTAATTTAAGATCTGATATTGTAAAGTCTTCTGTTTCACTGTTCTTGCTCACAATTGCTTTGGCTATTCTGGGTCTCTTATTTTTTCAAATGTATTTCATGACTGCTTTTTCTATTTCTGTGAAGAACATCATCAGAATCTTGATAGGAATTTCATCAAATCTATGTAGTGCTTTTGGTTGTATGGCCATTTTGACAGTATTAATTCTGCCTATCCAAGAGCATGGGAGATCTTTCCATCTTCTAAGGTCTTTGTCAGTTTCCTTCTTTAGTATTCTGTAGTTTTCATTGTTCAGGTCTTTCCCTTCTTTTGTTAGATTGATTCCAGAACGTTTTATTTTATTTTTTTTTTTATGCTACTGTGAATGGGATAGTTTTCCTGATTTCAGTTTATTCATCACTGATGCATGGGAATGCAGTTGATTTACGTGTGTTAATGATACTTTACTGAATTCATTTATTAGTTCTAGAAGTTTCCTGGTGGAGATTTTTGTGTCTTCTACATATAGAATAATGGGAAGTAGGGATAGTTTGAGTTTTTCTTTTCCTATTTATATCCCTTTAATTTCTTACTTTTGTCTAAAAAATTGCTCTGACTAGAGTTTCAAGGATGGGTTTGAATGAAAGTGGTGAAAGAGTCATGTTCCAGTTCTTGGTGGGAATGCTTTCAATCTTTCTCCAATTAGAATAATGTGGCCTTGGTTTTAGCATAGGTAGTTTTTACAGTGTTGAGGTACATTCCTACTATCCCTAGCTTTGCTAGTAGTGTTCTTTCACTTCTTACTTGTCTCTCTGTTTTCTCTCCTTTTACTGTCTTTTATTTTGCAGATTACTTTATGTATATTTTAAATTATTTTTCTGGCATTTCTTCCTCTGTGGTGTTGGTGGATTCTATTACCAGAGTAACATGGATTGTGTGAGGCAATCTGTTCTGCTTTTTTATTGTTTTGTGTGTCCTTCCATGTAATATTATAAATAGAGGCAGTAGAATTTCTACCTGTTGGACTTATAGTGTCTCTGAATGTTTCTTACTATGATGTGTATAATTTTAATTATCACAGTAAACAGAAAGGATATGATCAGCTTTTTTCTACATTAAAAACAGCAAGTTTGCAAAAGGAATTACAATTTCAAATGGTAGGCAGGGAAAAAAACAGTGATATTGGATGTGATGATAATGAGGGAGGAGGAGTGAATATAGGAGTAAAAAGGAAGAGTGAAAGAGAGAACAATAGAAATTGGCTGTTTTCGGAGTAAGAGAGAAAAAAATCAAGGGATAAAGAAAACTATATGTGAAGAAAAATTTTTTTAAGTTAAAAATAAATGTAAAAGTAAAAGAATGCAAAAGAAAACTAGAATATTACTAATCTAACACCCTAGACTTCAAAAAACTGATCTTCGAAAAATA